AGTTTGCTCGGATGTTTTGCTTTCCTAGAAAGTTGTGCTATTTTCTCAAAGCAAGGCTGTATTAGGAATGAAGAAAGCTGTTACGTGAGGCTGCGTCCTGTGACTGCCGAGTGAAGTGGGTAAATACGCCTGGTTTTGAAAAGGCACTGCCTGACACCAGCATGGCTTTTGGTCTCTGCCAGCTGTGAGAACCTGGTAGTGTTCAGGACAGTGGCTGGGCCTGGGGCAGTGGCTGTCCAACCCTTTTAGAGAGAAAACTATTTTATGGGGGGATTGATATAAGTGCTGTAGAACAGAGGTGGGAATACTTCTTATTTTGCAGCCAGAAACCTGCTGGCATGGGTTTATTTAAAAAGAAGAGATAAAAAAGCCTGTAGCTGAGATCACCTCTGCAAGTGATGTCCTCAGGGAGAAGGCGCGCAGAGCAGTCAGATCTGTAATCGCATTCTCTTAGTTCCTCAGAGAGCTTTTGAAGCTCAAAGTTGTTCTTGCTGAGTTTGGCAAGGACAGACCCACAGTGTCACTGAACCCTGAGGCCATAGGAAAAGGCTGAGTGTAGCTTGTCAGCTACAGATGCTGACAGCTCTTGAGGATCTAGCTAGCGAGTCGGATTTGTGCTGAAGGCATGGAAGGAAGTGACTCATTGTGCTGTTCCTTCAGCTGCAGCTGCACAGGAGCCTGAGAAGGAGCTCCCTGTAGCCCCCACTGACCCACTTGTGCTCTCTGTTGCAGGATGTGATCCAGGTATCTAAGAAATACCTCCCAGGGATGGCAGTGGGGTATTCCAGCGCTAAGCTGACCTTGCATGTGGGAGATGGTTTTGAATTCATGAAGCAAAATCAAGAAGCCTTTGATGTGATTATCACGGACTCGTCTGACCCTATGGGTAAGAAGTCTGGCCGTAAAAGGGTACTGCTTTCCACACTCTTCCTCCTTTTCTCTTCTTCCTCCCTCTTGGAAGTAATGCCAGCCTGCCCAGGCTCCTTTCAAGTGAAAAGACTGTCACCAACTGGGTTCTTTTGGTAGAGAAAGGGAAGGGCAAAGACCAGAAAATTGTATTAGCAAGGCTTCAAGCCAGCTGCCACGTTTCTTTCCTCAAAATTCAACTCCAGCAGCTATTGCTTCTAGCAGAGAGTTGATCCTTGAGGCCGGTAATCCCATGGCGGGGATACAGCACCGTGCTGGCAAAGGCAGCTTTGCACATGTGCCCGCAAGTGGAGCAGTGGCTCGCACGCTGTTGGTGTAGCTGCCTAGGTGAAAGGTGGTTGTAGTGGGGTTGCTGTGTTTCTGAAGAGCAAACCAGAGGTAGAGAGGGATCAAACCCAGCGCCTCATTTTAGGGACCTTAACAACAAGTGCCTAAGTCACCTTCGCTCTTGCTATAGTCAACACAGAGAGAGGCACCTCTAACAGGCTGTTTGAAGCAGGAGATAATTTTTAAAAAATACTCATTGAAAGAAGAGACAGCTGCTAAAACTTTGGTAACGGTCCTGGGGTTGCTATAGAGCAAAGCTAAAGTCCTGGTGGTTTTGTCTTTACTCGCTTTTCTCCCAGGTCCTGCAGAAAGCTTATTCAAAGAATCTTACTACCAGCTGATGAAGACAGCGCTGCGCGAGGATGGGATTCTTTGCTGCCAAGGTGAGGCTGCTGTCTGTGGGCAGAGGCTGATGCCAGATCACTGCATGCAAAGTGTGAGGCACAAAGGGGACACCTCTTCTTGGGGAGATGTGACACAGGGAGTGAAATCCATTTCAGCTCCCATGTACAGGAGCGTTTTTGATCCATATGCGTCAACTCGTTAACTGCTGGACTGCGCTTAGTAAAGCTGGCATAAGGGTCTTATCTTGCCTTTGAAACCACATGGGCTGTGCAGAGTAGAGCAGGTTTGGGCTTGGAACCACTGTTACCCTGGCGCAGGCCTGTGCAGCGAAGAGGGGCAGCTCTCACCTCGCATCCTGTCTTCCTTTCTCCCTGCAGGTGAGTGCCAGTGGCTGCACCTGGATCTCATTAAGGAGATGCGTCAGTTCTGCAAGTCTCTGTTCCCTGTTGTGGAATACGCCTATTGCACCATCCCCACGTATCCCAGCGGGCAGATTGGCTTCATGCTCTGCAGCAAGAACCCGGTGAGTTTCAGGTCCCTGGAATGCCCTTTCCCACTCCCTGGAAGCGCCCACAGAGCTACCTGGGGCTGTCCCTGACAGAGCCTGAGCTGCGGCACGGAGCTCTCCCAGCTCTGGAGCCTCTAGGCTTAGAAAAGGACATGGGTTTTCTCTCCGATAAAACAAACTAGTAATTTCCAGAACCTGTTAAGGGTTTGGCTTATTGAACGCTGACTGCTGTGAAGTGGGCACCTGCTTGATAAGAGTCAGTGTGGAACTGGTAACGTGCTCGTACAGAGGCCTCCAGGTGCGAGTCAGTGTTAGGCTGAGGGCTGGTCACTCGGAGCCAGGCCATTGAGGTCTGCTCCCTTCCCAGGCTGCTGCATTACAGCAACCCTGTAACACATCTGTCACGTTGGTTTCGGAAGGCAGCAGCAGAAGTGTTTGATTTATCTGGGACGCTGGCAGCACGCACCATGCCTGACTTAATGCAGATGTGGATTCTGCTCCGAAAACCCAAAGCCTTGCTTCTTAGATGCTCAGGCACAGCCTGACAGCTTCATCTGGCACGTGGCTCGCCTGCAGTCTGACCTCATACGCTGACATCTGCGAGTAAGGGCCAGTCACACGAGGTACGGAGTGTGAACCCCAGCCCTTGGGACTGGAGCTGTGCAAAACCTTTGACCTCATACTAGAACAGAAAGTCATCTGTTTTCTTCAGAGTCCTCTTGGTCCTCTGCCATGAGTCAGGCTGCCTGTCACACAGCCTTTTGCTCATTACTCAAATGCTACAGAGCTACCTGACCTTTTGTTTTTTGTTTTTTTTTTTTTTACAGAACACAAATTTCCGGGAGCCTGTTCAGCAGCTCTCACAGCAACAAGTAGAGGAGAGGAGTCTGAAATACTACAACTCTGACATTCATCGGGCAGCTTTCATTCTGCCAGAGTTTGCACGGAAGGTAAGTGAAGCTGCGCTGCTATTTCTCCATCAAGGACGCGGTATGATTTTTCTTCGTCAGGAGTTGGGAGTATACAGAACTGAGGGTTTCCTGCAGCCCTAAAGGCTTCTGTGGGCAAGTCAGAGCAGGACAGTGTTTTATATGACATAGCAGAGAACGAGTCAGTGTGGGAAAACCAGAGTTCAGTTTGGAAGTGTTCTTTGGGTTGATGTCCCATGCCTTGATGGCAGATCAATCCTTCACCACAGCTAAGTCCGAGAGCCGCAGAACTATGTTTCCCATTGTAAAGCTCCAGAAGTCTTGGATAAAACGTGGTTGTGATTTTTAGCGCGAACCACAGAGCAAAGGATGCTCTAGCATAGTTCAGTCTTCCATCCTGAAGGACAGTCTGTATTTCTGCATTGTTCTGTCATCTCCTAACAATTGCAACTGCAGGTTCCAGTAAAAAACTCCTCCAAGCGTCCTAAGGATGAAGGCCAATGCGCTGGTTGTGTTTCAGAGCCGTGTTTCTGTTGCAGACTGGTAGAGCTGCAGCAGGTCCATTCCTGATGCTTTTTTGTCTTTGGCTGTCTCCAGGCCCTGAGCGACGTGTGAGACTGTGAAGCTGCTTCCTTCCTTCAAGTTGGACCCTGAGATCGTCAGTGATGTGCTTGGGACCTTCCCAGCAGACTGCAGATTTGCTCTCCACTGTGTGGGATTGTTTAACCCTTTGCCAGCAAACATTCCCTTTGATGATGTGTTAAAGATGATGGGGCGTAAGCCAGATAAGACTATTGACAAGGTCCAGTGACTTATTGCGTGAGCTCAAAACTGTTCTTTCCAGTGCTGGAAACGTAAGACGTCTTTTTCCTTTCTCTCCTCCCACCACCTACTCTAAATTCTCCCCTCCCTGTGCCCCCCTCCCACCTCCACCCCCTGCGACTGACATGATGTATTTATAACTGACGCTTATTTCTGTCTGGTGATCTTCTGAAACCTGGGAAGAGTCCAGAAGGGTCACTGACTCAGCCTTAAGCACAGAGAGCGAGAGCTTTGTGCGCAAAGTCAGCTCGCTCTCTCCTAAGAGGAGCTCCCTGCTGCTGAGACGGTTTGACTGTCACGGGTCTGAGCCTTCGCGTCCCACTGCCCTCCTGCGACACCTGTGCTGCTCTGCAGCGTGGCTGGAGAAGCCACCGTGCAAACTGTTGCCATTCACAATAGGTCTCCTTCCAACCCTGATGGAGTAGCAGTATTAAACACCAGCCA